TGGGTCAGGAGCCGCTGCGCGGCGATCGCGTCCCGGTGCGCCCCTGCACCTCCTTGCCCCGCGCCCGCCTGGCCGCGCCCAGGCGCCAGTCCCGAAGCGGCAGGGCCTCCGACTTCTGGAGAGGTCGAGGCGGGGGCCCGAGGCCGTCGCTGGCAGGTCGGAATGCCGCTCGGCGCGTCGCCAGCAGCCAGGGCCGCCTTCCACCACCAGCGCCAGATCGTCCGCGCGCGCTGTGCAGGCAGATCACCCGCCAAGCACGGCCCGCTCCTGATGTGGCGCCCGACGGGACTGGATGGGCATCCTTGCCGAAGCGGAGACACGGAAGCCGCCCCGTCGGTCTTTGCGCATCTTCTGGCGACAGCATTGGTCTGCACAGAGGGCCCGCGTGGTAGGTCTGGAGCGGCGCACGAAGCGACTCCGCTCCGTCAGTTTGATGCGAAGCCTTGTTCTCGATCGGAGGGAGTGCGGCTCTCATGTCAAAGAACCGCGCCGTGGACTGGGACCGCGCGAGAGCAGCCTCCTGCATGTTGGCCACGAGCTCGAATGTCAGCGTGGGTGGGCCAGCCGTGCAGCAGTAAGCCAGAAACGCTGGCAGTCGCTGAGACATCGTTCCGCCGCAGGTCTGATATCATGCTGGAGCGTGCTGGCCGAAATGCGGCTGGGGGCACCCACCAACATCAACGGCGTTGTGTCTTTGCATGTAGACATGGTCCAAACCAGGGTCTACACGGACGGGCTGTCTTGCAGACAAAAACCAACGGCATGCATCGATGTCACACGGGCGGAAGCCATCGCCACATGAGCCGTGCTTCAAATGATCTTGAAGTGATGATGATGATGCTACAGACATGTTTTCTGATGTCCCGCGCGGCCAGAACCGACTGGCCGAGTACGAGTAGCCGATAACCGCTAAGTATTCTAGATGTTCCAGAAAGTACCCTGAGCCAATCGCATCATGAAACCGATCTCGCCCCTGCACTTCTCTGCAAGGCGATCTTGCAACACCGTGCACCCTGTCGCCCTGACGCGCTTCCGAAAGGAGGAAGGGATGTCATCTGGACATGGGGCCGACGAGCCCGAAGAGCGGACCGCCTCTGTACACCTCCACCGCTACGTGCCAGTGCTGAGAGACTTCTGTGAGCAGCAGCAGCAGCAGCAGCAGCGGAGCGTGCAGCAACAGCCTCCCGCAATTGCCCCATTGCGGGTCTCATCTGAGGTCCCAGGGTTTCGATGCGAAAGGCACGTGCGCGAGGTGTTCGGCCAGGCAGATTGGCCCGAGAGGCATGGTCGAACCAGGTGGGCGTTGCTGCGTCTTTGCTTCTGTTCGAAAAGGCTAACCAGCTTGGACCCCAAACGGTACGCCACTGCACCTTCGGCATGTGTGGATTACAAACTATGGGGTGCCAGCTATGTGGCGACAGCTCCGTGGTGCACGCAAGGTGGTGCAACGTACGCGGTGCAAGCTGTGCGGAGCCATCAGTGTGGTGCAACCTCTGCGGGCGCCCACGAGGCGGCCACCAAACGGGCACCAGCGTCTTTGTCCGTGTGTCTGTGCCTGCGCCTGTGTGTGCGTGTGTGTCTGTGTCTTTGTCCGTGTGTCTGTGTTTGTGCCTGTGTGTGCGTATGTATCTGCGTCTTTGTCCGTGTGTCTGTGTCTGTGCCTGTGTGTGCGTGTGCTTCTGTCTGTGTGTGTGTCTGCGCGTGCGCACGCTCTTCTGTCAAGGCCGCCGAAGGGGAAAGGGCAGCAGGAGGAGGAGGAAGGAGAAGCGGGCGAAGAGGGGGGAGCAGCGAGGGGGAGGGGAGGACCAGGGAGGAGGCTGAGTCCCAGGGAGGACCAGGGAGGAGGCAGGGGGAGGGGAGGACCAGGGAGGAGGCAGGGGGAGGACCATGGGGTGACCAGGGGAGGACCAGGGAGGAGGCAGGGGGAGGGGAGGGGAGGACCAGGGAAGAGGGGGTCCTACAAGCCTCGTCAAACATATCCAGAATTCGAAGATGAACTCCTGGAGCACGATGCTTTCGGGCACTTGTCAGAAAGCGCGTTCTTCAATGCTGAGAGGGTGGGGTCGGTTGTTTGACAACACCGCGTCCGAGTCAACGGGCATCCGTCAGCACTGGAGTAGCGCTGACCCCACAATCACCGAAATCAGAAGTCTTCTGTTTATTGCGAAGGCCTTACGGCCGGTGCCGCCGACCCTGAGAACGACGAAAGTGAAAACGAGGGGGGGGGGCTGGGGGAGGAGGATGAGTGGGAAGTGGGGGAAGGAGGTGGATGAGGGAGGAGGAGGGGGGAGGAGGATGTGGAGGAGAAGCAAGAGGAGGAGAAGGAGGCAGAGGAGAGCAAGAGGATGGGGAGCAGAGGGGGGGGGAGGAGGAGGAGGAGGAGGAGGAGGAGGAGGAGGAGGAGGAGGAGGAGGCCAGAGGTTTTCTTGGGACAGCCTGGAGCTCTCTTGAGGCCGTCTTGGGCCGTCCAGGGCTCCTCTTGCGCCGTCTCGAGGCACTCTTGGGGGCCTCCTGGGCAATTTGGGGCTCTCCTGGGCTGTCTTAGGGCAGTTTGGGGGCCACTTGGGAGCCTCTTGGGGCCTCTTGGGGCTTCTTCGGGGCCTCTTGGGGGCCTCTTGGGGCTGAAAGCTCGAAATGTCTGTTCGGGCCCCCCGTATGGACACTCTCCTGGAGCCGTCTTGTGGGCCTCTTGGGCCGTCTTGGAGGCGTCTTGGGCCGTCTTGGGGTCCTCTTCGGCCGTTAGGACCCTCTTGGGGGCCTCTTGGGCCGTCTTGGCGCGTCGAGAAGCGGAAGAGGCAAGAACGCCAACATCTTCCAAACACGTATGGGAAATCCATGAATTTTGCTTCTTGGGGCTCTCGTGGGAAAGCTCCTGGAGGCCTCTTGGGGCGCTTTGCAGGCGTCTTGGCTCTTGGGCCGTCTGGAGGCCGTCAAGGCATCTTAGACAGATCACTCGGCGATTCGGGGTTCTCTTGGACTGTCTTTGGGGCCTCTTGGGGCACTCTTGGCCCGTCTTGGGGCTTTTTTGGACTCCGGGGCTCCCAGGGGGGGCGTCTGAACCCCCCCCCCGGGACCCCCCCCCCCGGCGGGGGAGGGATCGAAGGGAAGGGGCTTCCCTTCGACTCAATTACGGCGTGCTCAACTTTGCTTTGGCTGGCGCGCTGAGGAGGTCCCTGGGGAAGGGGGGAGCATCGACGAGCCCAGGGAAAGGGGGGAAGGCAGGGAAAGGGGACGACAGAGACGGCGACCAACGAATGAGGGAGATGACGACTTGAATGGACAAGCCCCTCACACACGCCGACAGGGTCGGCGGATTTTTGACGAGGCTTGTAGGAGGGGGTGGATGACTAGTGGGATGAGGCAACTGCGTCGGGCAGCGGAACTACGTCTTCTTCGTCGGGTTCCTGTCCTCGACGATCTGCCTGGGCTTCGCGGTGGCCGTCGGCTTCCTGATGTACTCCGCCAGCAGCACGCTGGACCTGCGCAGCCCGGCGGTGCTCTGCGTCGGGAAGCGACGTCGGAGTTGAGTCGGGCACGTCCCTCTCCAGGAGCAACATTCGCAAAACAGGTCAAAAAATATGATGGGGGCATTTCCGATACTTGTTCTATTATTTTTTCAATTCATCCGAAATCCGCCTGCAGGGGGACATGTCCGACCTAACCCCAGAGATCCGATGTCGTGACTTTTCTATGTGGTGCCCCCAGAAGTCTCGACCCGTGTCCCGAGACCAGCTTGTCATCCTGAATCGTCTTTTGATTGTCTTGGGGCCTGGCAAGGGCCCCTGGAGGCCGCAAATTGAGAACAACCTCCGCCTTGATTTTTTCGATGCGCTGGATCTCCAGGAGGGGGGTCAGCCCTACTGGGGGTCAGCCAATCCCTTGTGAGCCCCCATGGCTGGCCTCGGTTGGGAAACTACGAGGAGCCTTCCCCCTCCCCTCTCCGCCCTCCGCTGGCCAAGGCTTGGGAGGTCTTTCGCGGCTGGCCCGGGGGGTTCGCGACATATGGCCTGGTCTGGCCCAGAGCAGCGCGGACCCGCGTCCGCCCGTCCTCGACGAAAGGGTGGGGCACAGGCACGGCGCAGCGCGAGCGGATGTCGGGGAGAAGGGGAGGAGGGAGATGGGGTGGGAAGGTGCATCCTTGTTGGGTCTGTGTGGCTTCGCTACTTACCGCTACTGCATAGCATTGACTCCGGCTTGCTCCTCGGCAAGCTTCGAAGTACCTGAGGACAGGCCCTTCTGCAGCCCATGTAGTTGCTTGCCGTAGTGCTTCAGCACCCCGAGTACTCTCTCTGTCTCTCTTTCTCTCTCTCTCTCTCTCTTTATCTCTCTCCCTCTCTCTCATATATATATATATACACATATCTTTTTCTTTCTACACATCTATATACATATGTATACATACAACGGGTGATCGCAAATGTGGGGCTTGGGGCCCGGGCCCGCTTCTGGGAGGCCTCAAATCGCCCCGGGGAGCCCTCAGACAGCAATCCCAGCGGCCCCAGACGGTCTCGAGACACCCCCAGAACGCCATCCAGGGGTCTCTGGCGACGCACGATGCGTTTTAAATTGCCCCGGAGGCCCCAGCTGCCTTTAAGATGCCGCCCGAGAGCGCCCCGAGAGGGCAAAATCGTTGATTTTGATTAGTTTTTCAATGTTTGTTGCATTCTCGCTGTTTCGTGTTTCCGGCGCTAAAGCATCGCCCAAGAGGCTCCCAAAACCACTCCAAGACGGCCCAAGAGGCCCCCAAGAGAGCCCCAAGACGGCCCGAGAGAGCCCCGAGACGGCCCCAGAGCCGCCCAAGACGGCGCAAGAGGGTTCCCCAAAAAGGGGCCCAAGAGAGGGAACGCGAACCGAAAAATCAAGCTCTCCGCCCCAAGATGCCCCCAAAAAGCCCAAAAGAGACTCCAAGAGGCCCCAAGACGGCTCCCAAAAGGCTTCAAAAACTCTTTCTAAGAGGCCCCCGAAGACATGCCAAGAAGGTCCCATGACGACTTCAAGAAGCAGTCCAGGATGCTCCGAGAGGCCCCAAGAAGCTCGCTAAAACTTGAGCGCGCGCGAAGCGCGCGTGATGGTTCTATATGTATACACACATATATATATATATATATATATGCACGTGTTGCGCGTGAGCGCACGATCATTGCTTTTCATACGTACAACATACAGGCGAAGCTTCTAATTATAAGGTGGTCGCTACCTGAAGCGACCGAGGACAGTGCCCGTGCTGCGAGGGCGCTCTTCTTATCAACTCACAAGGCTGTACAGTGATCAACTGGACACTGTGCGCCGCGGAAGCACGAGCGATATATATATATATATATATATATATATATATATATATGGTGAGGTCTTGCACTGAGATCTCCAACGTGATGTTTTTGTTGTTGTGTTCTCTAGCGGATTTCTTACATAAAGCTCCCACGCAAGAAATCCTTTTTGTAAGGCCGCCACACAGGGAATCCTTTTGTAAGGTCGCCACAAACGCCACGGGCGGGCAGGCGAAAATGCAAAAAAAGCAAAAAAGGCTGAAAAAACAAAGAAAACCAATAACATCCTAAGAAAACCATGCGAACAAGCTGCAGAACCTAAGGAACACCAAGGTTTTGACAGCTGGTGACCACGACACCTGTGAAAACACAGTGTTTCGTGACGTCGATGAGCCAAAACAATGTGTTTTCATAAGTTTGGTGGCTATCAGGCGTCCAAAACTTTGGTGTTCCTTAGGTTTTGGAGCTTTTTCGCTTGGTTTTCTTAGGATGTCATTGGTTTTCTTTGTTTGTTTCGCTTTTTTTGCCTTTTTTGCATTTTCGCTTGTTCGCGCCGTGGCGCTGCGCCGGCCCTCGCGCCGCCAGGGGCGGGCAGGCGAAAATGCAAAAAAAAACAAAAAAGGCGGAAAAAAAAAGAAAACCAATGACATCCTAAGAAAACCATGCGAAAAAGCTGCAAAACCTAAGGAAAACCAAGGTTTTGACAAGCTGGTGACGACGAAACCTTTGAAAACACAGTGTTTCGTGACGTCGATGAGCCAAAACAATGTGTTTTCACAGGTTTGGTGGCTATCAGGGGTTCAAAACTTTGGTTTTCCTTAGGTTTTGGAGTTTTTTCGCTTGATTTTCTTAGGATGTCATTGGTTTTCTTTTTTGTTTCGCCTTTTTCCGTTTTTTTTGTATTTCGCTTGTTCGCGCCGTGGCGCTGCGCCGGCCCTCGCGCCGCCAGGGGCGGGCAGGCGAAAATGCAAAAAAAATCAAAAAAGGCGAAAAAAAACAAAGAAAACCAATGACATCCTAAGAAAACCATGCGAAAAAGCTGCAAAACCTAAGGAAAACCAAGGTTTTGACAAGCTGGTGACGACGAAACCTTTGAAAACACAGTGTTTCGTGACGTCGATGAGACAAAACAATGTGTTTTCACATGTTTGGTGGCTATCAGGGGTTCAAAACTTTGGTTTCCCTTAGGTTTTGGAGTTTTTTCGCTAGATTTTCTTAGGATGTCATTTGTTTTCTTTTTTTTTCCGCCTTTTTCCGTTTTTTTTGTATTTCGCTTGTTCGCGCCGTGGCGCTGCGCCGGCCCTCGCGCCGCCAGGGGCGGGCAGGCGAAAATGCAAAAAAAGGCAAAAAAAGGCGAGAAAAAAAAAGAAAACCAATGACATCCTAAGAAAACCATGCGAAAAAGCTGCAAAACCTAAGGAAAACCAAGGTTTTGGCAAGCTGAGCTTGCCACAAAAGGAATCCATTTGTAATTCGCCACAAAAGGAATCCATTTGTAATCCGCCACAAAAGGAATCCCTTTGTATTCCGCCACAAAAGGAATCCATTTGGAATCCGCCACAGAAGGAATCAATGTTTAATTCGTTACAACAGAAATCCAAGTGTAACCCCCCACAACAGGAATGCAATTGTAATCCGCATCAAAAGGAATCCATTTGAAAATGGGTACACAAGAAATCCATCGATACAGAGCCAAAAGGAAGCCAATAGGGATATGAGAGGGAGCCAAGAGGGAGCCAAAAGATAGCCAAGAGGAGCTTCCTGAAGGTTTTGAAAAAGGGGGGATTGCTAGCGCTTACCGCTGCCCACGAGGGCTTCTTGAGGATGTGAAAAGGGGGAAATTATGTGCATTTGTTTGTCAATTTCTGCGGGGGGTGGAGCACACAAGCATGACATTTTGGGGCGCCTGGCGCAAAACATCGTTGTCGTATATGTAAGTTTCAACGCTACGTTTAGCACTTTTCGAGGGTATGCGTTTCATAAAAAAATTTGAGTGCCGATTTGGGGGTGTCTTTGGGGTGCCTTTCGGATGCTTTCCGGGTGCCTTGACAATGAAATCTTGGGTCGCTTGGAGCAAAGCGTTGTTTTCTCAATTTCAGATGTCAATTGCAAATGCAACACTTTTGGAAGATTTGTTGTTTCTTGAAATTTGGTGTAGGCAATTTGCGGCTGCCTTTGGGGTGCATAGCGGGTGCCTTGCGGGTGCTTTGCGGGAGCCTTGACCATGCAATCGTTGGCTCGGTTTGACCAAAGCGTTGATTTCTTAGTTGCACATTTCAATAGCACATGTATTCTTCGAGGAGATATGTTATTCCAGGATTTTTGCGTGGGCGATTTGCGAGTGCCTTTGGGGTGCCTTTCGGGTGCCTTGCAAAGGGAGCCAAGAGGAGCTTGCCCAAGGTTTTGAAAAAGGGGGGATTGCTAGCGCTTACCGCTGCCCACGAGGGCTTCTTGAGGATGTGAAAAGGAGGAAATTATGTGCATTTTTGTGACAATTTCTGCGGGGGGTGGAGCACACAAACATGACATTTTGTGGCGCCTGGCGCAAAACACGTTGTCGGATATGTAAGTTTCAATGCTGCGTTTAGCACTTTTCGAGGGTATGCGTTTCATAAAAAAAATTGGAGTGCCGATTTGGGGGTGTCTTTGGGGTGCCTTTCGGGTGCTTTCCGGGTGCCTTGACAATGAAATCTTGGGTCGCTTGGAGCAAAGCGCTGGTTTCGTAGTCGAGCAGTTCAATAGCACATGCAATAATTTTCGAGGCGATAGCTTGTTCCAGAAATCTTGTGCGGGCGATTTGCGGGTGCCTTTCCAGTGCCTTTCCAGTGCTTGGCGGGTGCCTTAGGGGTGCCTTTCATGTGATTTTGTTTTCTTTCGTACCTGTCTCATATTGTATCTCTCTTGCCCCTTTTGTTTCCTTTTGTCCCCCTTTTGTTCCCTTTTGTCCCCTTTGTTCCTTTTTGTCCCCTTTGTCCTCTTTGTCCCCTTTGTCCCTTTTTGTCCGCTTTGTCCCTGTTTGTCCCTTTTGTTCCTGTTGTTTCGTTTTGTCCCTCTTTATCCCCTTTGTCCCCTTTTTGTCCCCTTGTGTCCCCTTTGTTCCCTTTTGTCCCTCTTGTCCCCTTTTGTCCCCTTTTGTCCCCTTTTGTTCCCTTGTGTCCCCGTTGTCCCCTGTTGTTCCTCCTGTCCCTTTTGTTTCCTTTTGTCCCCTTTTGCCCTCCTTTGTCCCCTTCGTTCCTTTTTGCCCCCTTTGTCCCCTTTGTTCCCTTGCCCCCTTTGTCCCCTTTTGTCCGCTTTGTCCCTTTTTGTACCTTTTGTCTCTGTTGTTTCCTTTTGTCCCCTTTTATCCCCTTTCTCCCCTTTTGTTTCTTTGTGTCCCCTTTGTCCCCTTTTGTCCCTCTTGTCCCCTTGTATCCCCTTTTGTCCCCTCTTGTTCCCTTGTGTCCCCTTTTGTCCCCTTTTGTTTCTCCTGTCCCTTGTGTCCCCTTTTGTCCCCTTTTGTCCCCTTTGTGTCATTTTGTCCCATTGGTTTATTTGTGTGTGGCTTTTTGTCCCTTTGTTCCTGTTTTCCCTCTTTGTCCCCTTTGTCCCCTTTGTCCCCTGTTGTCCCATTTGTCTCTTCTTTTCCCCTTTGTCCCTCGGGATGCTTATTGGAGATCTTCCATGGCGCAAGGAAAACAAAAAAAACGGAAACACCAGGGGGACATTAGGGAGACACCCAACACATATCGTGAGTTCAGCGTCCTCCGAGGCCCAGGAAAGGCAACAGAAGGAGCAGGAGGATCAGTAGAAGAGGGAGGGGGAGGATTGGAGAGAGAAGGAAGAAACGGACTTTTGTTTTGTTCCCTTGGGCCCTTGGGCCCTCAGGATGCTGATTGGATATTCTCCAGGGTCGGCGCCCTGACATACAAGCTGGGGCTGAACCGAAAGAACACCTTGGATGGCGTCATCCACGATTACGTCACCCACAAGCCCAAGAAAGACGGGAAGTTCCTGCGCCCCAAATACGTGCAGCTCTTCGCCCACGACATAGATGGGTCCACCACGTACACAAAAGGTGGGACCCAGATAATTGATCGGTGTTGGCAACATATTCGGAAGTTTGTGGGCATGCGATCCGCCGCGGGCTCATCCCAGAAGAGGATGGATGCGCGCGTGCGCGCTGCACAGTGGGCCTACTGGCACCAAGACGACGATTTGTTCTTGAGAGCAGGAGAAGCTTTTCGGCGTCGCTGCTGAACTGACACTGCATTTCTGAGTTCGCACTCGCATCCTTTGAGCAAAAACAACATATTTGGATATCTCAGTGCTAGGCATGAGCATATATATATATATATAGGTGTGTGTGTGTGTGCGTACGTAGAGTATAGTATATATATTATATATATATATATATATATATATATATTATATATATATATATATATCACTCTCTACATATCTCTCTCTCTCGCTGTTTCTCGTTCCTCTCTCTCTCTCTCTCTCTCTCTCTCTCGCTCTCTCTCTCTTCTCTCTCTCTCTCTCTCTCTCTCTCCATATATCTCTCTCTCTCTCTCTTCTCTCTCTCTCTCTCTCTCTCTCTCTCTCTCTTTCTTTTTTGTTTTTTTTTCTCTCTCTCTCTCTCTGTATTTCTTTTTTGTGTGTCTCTCTCTCTCTCCCTATCTATATATATATACGCACTAATGTAACTCCCTTGCATATATTGAACGGAGCCCTGCGACCCCCCCCCCCTAAACGGGACCCCCGATCCCTGATCTCGGCGGCCTTCTGGACGCTCCTTGACAGGGTCCCCCAGGAATTCCGGGCCTTTGAGGACCCCTCCGACCCCGTGCAAGAAAGGCCCACCAGCCATGAGGGGGGCGACGAAGCGGGGCGGAGGCGAGCAGACGAGGGAGGAAGCGGGACGGAGAAGGACGGAGGAGGAGGAGGAGGAGGAGGAGGAGGAGAAGGACGGATGAGGAGGAGGAGGAGGAGGAGGAGGATACTCGCGAGGCGTAGCATGGGGGGAGGAGCGACTGCGCGCCCCCCTCCCGAGTCAGGTTCTGGCGCTGCTGCTGCTCATCGGGCTCCCCACCGCACTGCTGCTCTCCGGGGTCCTGGCGCCCATGGGAGGGGAGACGTTGGCCGTCGTGGGCGTCGTTGTTTTCCTCCTCATCCTCCTCCATGTCCTCCTCCGCCTCCTCCACTTCCTCCTCCTCCCTCTCTCCGTCTGTTCCATATTTCTCCTTCTCCTCGTCTCCGCATTTCACGTGCTCCGTCCCCTTATCCTGTTTACAGTTTTCGTCATCATCGTACGGTGAGTAATCCTTAGGAACATTTCCTATATTAACCTTATCATCACCACCACCATCCTCATCATTTCACACATGTATCATCATCACCACCTTGATGATCATCCTTAGCAGCAGCAGTATAGTCAGCATGATCGTCAACATGAACATGATATGCATCCTCACCATCCTCACCATCATCAACCGCCTCGACATCACTAACCTCATTAGCGTCATCGTCATCCTCATCATCGTCGTCATCATCAGCATCTTCATCAGCAGCAGCATCATCATCACCGTCGTCATCCGAATCGTCATCCCAGTTATCCGCCCATGCCCTTCATCCTCTTCATCCCTCCTTTCATCTTTTCTTGTCCTCCCCAATCCTCTTCCCTCCTTGTCCTCCCCAGTCCTCTTCCCCCTCCCCTGCCTCCTCCTCCTCCTCCTCATCATCATCATCATCATCCTGCTTCTCCTCCTTCTCTTCCTCCTCCTCCTCCGCGCAGAGCGATCTCAGGATTGCCCCCTCCTTCCCCAGACCATCTCGGTCCTCCAGAGGCCTCCACAGACATATGCTTGCGTGAGTCGTGGGCAAAAATCAGGACGAGCGATCTTGGGCCTGTCGGCCTCCAGGGGGTCCCCTCGGGGCTCCAGGACCACCAGAGAAGCAACCCCGAGCGAGAACCTGATCCTGGGGATGAGCGCCGCGGGCGGCGTCGTGGAAAAGACACGGCGTCGGAGGTCTTGATTCCTCCCTCCTCCCTCCTCCCCCCTCCTCCTCGGACCTCGTTCCTTCCTGTGTGATCCCGCTCCTCCTCCCTCCTCCTCCCTCCCTCCCTCCCTCCCTCCTCCTCCTCCTCCTCCTCCTCCTCCTCCTCCTCCTCCTCCTCCTCCTCCTCCTCCTCCTCCTCCTCCTCCTCCTCCTCCCTCCTCCTCGGAGGTCCTCCTGATGACCCCCCCCTCCTCCGGCCTCCGCGGCCACCGACTCTGGTCCCCCATGGAGCGCTCCCTCAGCGGCGGCGTGCGAGACTGCCACCGATCGACACGTGCGATGCGGGACTGCTGCCAGGCGGAGGCCCGCCTGCCCTCCCGGAGCTGGCTCCCAGCTTGGAGCCGCCTGGGGGGTCCTGAGGTGCCCCCGCGCGGGTTCCGGCCAGCAGGAAGGGAGGGGCAGGTTCGAGGCTCCAGGCTCGGGAAGGTATGTTGCCCTTTTCGGCCTCTGGGGGCCGTTTTCGGGGCACGGGAGGATGAACAATGAATCCAGGGTGAAAACCTGCACCAGATGGACCCCAGGAGGGGTCCAGGGACCGATTTTGATCGGATTTGGTCCCACCCCCCCTCCTGACCGATTCTCTGGGGTCCCAACCGATTCAGACCCCCGGCCACCTCCAAGCCGTATCGTTTCGGGTTGTTAGGTTTTTGTTCAGGTTGGCGGCCAGTTGAACCCAACCACGTGACTAAATCATGATCTGCATGTAGTGCTGATATAAGGAAGTTGTGTGAAGCTGGACTTCCAAAAATAGGCTTCGAACAGAACGATCTCCGATCTCTGGGAGCTGCCAACCCGAGAAAAACAAGGAGCCACACCCCACCCCACCCACACAAAAGACGTGCCCCCCAAAGAAGGCGCCCCAACCCCAAAGAATGGCGCTGCCTTTCTGCTCGGTCTGGACCGTGACTTTTGTAAGACGCGGGCTGAATCTTCCTCCTGGCTGCAACCGCTCCAGCACCGCCGCCCGAAAAAGACACCGCGAGCAGAGTCGCAGCATCCGGATCTCTGGGGGAGGGCTTCCAGGCTCCCACGATCCGACGTCGCGATTTTTTCGTTCGCCATGTCGACCCGCAGAGGTCTGGACCCCTTCCCCGGGACCGGCTTTTCATCCTGAGTCGCTTTTGGACGGTCCAGGGGCCCGTCGAGGGCCCCCGGAGGCCGAAGGCAGCGAAAAAAACACCTCCCGTCGCGATTTGTTGCAACGCTGCCGGAACCCGAAAGCACGCAGCAGCCCCCGTTGCAAGAGAAGTGGCACGCAGCGGCCACAGCACAGACCGGCCCCGGCCCCCCCGCGCCCCCGCTTCGGCAGCAGCACGCGAGACGGCCCCACCTTCACGGCGGCCAGCTGCTGCCGTTTTGCGCGGTGCTGCCGCGCCCCCGCCCCTCGGCGGCCGGGCGGAGCATAGCGGCGGCGTCGGCGCGCGCAGCGAGCGCTGGGCCGTCCTCGCCGCCGCTGCCGCGCGCGAGCATGCGTGCTCCGCCTCGCCCTCCGCGCCCTCGTTTCCCCGCCCTCCTCGTTCGCCTTTTCCGTCCGTCGCCTCCCCCGCCCGTCTCCGCCCGTCCGTCGCCTGCTCCGTCCGTGCGTCTCCTCGCCTCCCTGCTGCATCCTCATCCTCCCTCCTCCAAGATCCTGCTTCTCCATCTCGTCCGCGCTCCTCCGTTTGATCCTCCTCCCCCCCGTCTCCTCGTTCTCCTCCTCGTCCTCATCCCCCTGATTCTCTTCCGTGTCATCCATCTCCTGTTCCTCCCTTTTATCGGCCTCCTCTTCCTCGTCGATCATCGTTCCTTTTCCCTCTCCTTCTTCTCATCCCTCTCTTTCTCCCTCATCATCCTCCTCATCATCCTTTCCACCGTCATAATCATCACCAACCGTCATAATCATCACCAACAGCAGCCTTAGCAGCGCCATAATCCGCACAATCAGCATCACTACCATCAGCATCAGCACCATCGTCGTCATCATCATCGCCATGACCGCCGTCTGCATCATCAGCATCATCGCCAGCAGCAGCATTATTACCATCATCATCAACATCTTCATCATCACCATCAGCATCATCACAATCAGAATCATCAACAACAGCAACACCCACAACAGCAGCATCGCCATCATTACTACCATCAGCATCAACATCATCACCGTCGTCATCATCGCCGTCATCATCAGCAGCAGCACCCTTATCCTCATCACCAGCATAGTCATTAGCAGCAATCGTCACCATCGTCATGATCAGCATCATCATCAGCAGCAGCAGCAGTATCGTCATCATCATCAGCATCATCGGTATTATGATTATCAGCACCATGATCAGCATGATCATCATTTTCACCATCATCATCATCATGACCATCAGCAACATCAACATCATGACCAGCATCACTATCAACAGCAACAGCAACAGCATCATCATCATCAGCAGCAGCAGCATCGTCAGCATCATCAGCATCATCATCAATTCCCTCACCTTTCGTCCAGAAGCCCCTTGACTGCGTACCATTCCTTCGAGTAGCCACCAAATCTTCCGAGCACCTCCCTCCCTTCCCCCCCTCCGGAAATGTCGGAAGCATTTGGGAAAGTGTCAGTGTTCGAAACCTCCCAGTACATGCGAACACCACCGAAGGATGCCGAATAGCTCGACCCAAGAAAACAGACATTGGTGGAACAGCCTCCTCGTTGTGGTTGTCGAGCCCTCCTCCTCCCCCTTCCCCTTTTCCTCCCCCACCCTTCCACCCCTCTTCCCCTCCCCTCTCCCCGCTCCCCCCTTCCCCCCCTCACTCTCCCTCCCTCCCCCCCCACCCTGCCCGCCCCTCCCCCTTCCCCCTCCGTAGCCACTTTGGCTCAAGCACATGCGGCCCAAGCCTTGTAGATCCATCTATTGGCTCCAACTAGGCTTGGCGTCGGGCCTCGCGCTTCCGCGTAGCGCTTGGGGGCCCAGTGAAAGGAAGGACAGTATTCCGAAGGCACGTGCAGTTTTCCTGGAGCGGGTGGCGAGGCGAGGCGAAGTAATCTTTCGTTTGGTCGTGTATACATGGCAGAATCAGAGGAAGAGCTGCGGTTGTCCACGCGGGGGGCGTCTGATCTTCAAACGGTCCATTTGGAGAGGCATTGTGGTCCGATCCTTCGGCAAGTGGGTGTGCAGATCTGTAGGCGGGATGAATTTCAGTTTTTTCTTGTTCTCCGGATGCTGCGCTTACTGCTGTGCCGTCCATCGTGATCGTCGCATGCATAGGTTCCCCGTGTGACGTTCGAGGTGAGCTAGACAATATTATGTACAAGTATCTGCGACGGCGAATAGATGCTACGGAGAGAGGGATTGTGCACGACAGCCTCGCATTTGAAGCAGAAGTGGGACAGCTTCCGAATGGCACGGTGGTTTCGATCTTTAAAGGCTCGGACTGTCTTCGAGCTATCAGTACGCCTTCTGCCGATGTGTCCTTGAAGTCTGTTCCTGACACACACCGAATGAATGCCATCATGGACCAGATGAGTTCCTACGTCCGTTGGGTGGCGGTCACGATCTTGCGGCTCGCATCAACGCGAAGGGGCATGTCAACCCGTCACACCACGAAGAGAGCAACGGCGAGTTCAATATTGCAGCGAATCGCTTTCAAGCAGCAGTGCGGGGGGGCCGCGTCCTGTTCACAGGCCAGTGGGACGGAAGCCTGCGCCACGGGTGTGCCATGGGAGTGATAGCCAGCCTTTTCGCCGATGTCTATCCCACGGGACCCAGCACCTCGAGTGGGGCAACTTTTCTCGCTCAAGGTCATGGGCGGCTACATCGGTGCCTGCGCTGACTATTGCGATCATGCTCGTGAGCGGCGGGCTCAGCAGCTCTTGTCAGAACGGCTGAGGCGTCTCGTGCAGCAGGACGAAGTGGAAGAAGTTTTGCTCATCCAAGATATGCAGCCATACGTCACTCTCAACAAGGCAGTGATGTGGTTGTTTGCGGCAGCGGTGGCTCGGCCTTCCAACGGGCTTCAGTAGTGGGCGCATCTTGTGGCTAGTTCAATGTCACGGAGTCTGCAGGGTTCTGTCGTCGGTTGTCGATCATTGTTTTGCTGAGGCAGCTTCAGTGTTTTTTTTTCGGCGGTGGGCCCATCAGACTATATACGTATTTCGCAATGGTCAACTAGTGCTTCATCTTGGGGCTTCCCAATTGGAGTTCGCAGTTGGCTGGCTGATTTCAATCGCGCGCAGGCGTCTTCAGCTACCATGCCATTGTCTCTCACGGCCTCTCGGGTAGGTAGTTTTTGGTGGCTGACGGGCTTTCAGTGTAGTCTTCATCAGCTCTCATGTCGTTCTTTCCCACGGCCGCTCGGGGAGGTATGGCATTGTTGGTGGGCACTGCAATTCTACAATGCTGGGCGTTTGCTAGGCGTGCTGGGCTGGATGCATTCTTGGGCGTACACTGGTTCTGCCGTTTGCGGGCCACCGCAGAGTGTCGCGTTTCTTTACAGCTGGTCTGACAATTTTGGGTCACAAATTGTCGGGGCTGTCTTTTGGCTTCACGGGAGGCAGGGCGCACTGTCGGGTGGCCTGGCATGTGTTCAGCATCTTGCGTGTAAGTCGCATGGTTTGCTCAGCATATGGGCGGGTGCAGCCCGCGGCGGGAAGGAATGAATTGTTTGTTTGGCATTTGTGGCTACGGCTCTTCATTGCGAGGCTGTTTGTGGATGGGGCGAGCTCCTGAATTTTGCTCGATTATCTACGGTAGGGCCGAATCGAGTCGATTTCGTTTCAGTCAAGCATGTCTAGTGCCCTCCGTCGTGGGCGCTGATCAAATTTGGAGGGATTCGCTATGGCATCATTTTGTGCTCCATAGACTTCGCTGGCGTGGTCCTCTTGCGCACGTTCGCTATGGTTCTCTACTGGGTCGTCTCGTGCGCGGGGGAGTCCGGTGGTGGCCTTAGCATTTAGGTTTTTATTGATTCTTGTCAAGGCGGTAATCCTGGTAATCCCTCCCCCTTCCCCCTGTCCCCTCCCTCCGCCCTTCCCCCCCTCCGCCCTTCCCCCCTTCCCATCCCCCCCCCTCCCCTTCCCCCCCTGGTTTGCCCCCCCTCCTCCCCCATTCCTGTCGCGCCCCGCGGCCGATCGGGCCTCGCGGCCGGTCGAAAGGGCGGGTCGGGCGTTTCGCCCGAGACTTCCTCGCCATCTATGTGCGGCCCCGAGATTGAAACATCGGCAACAGCTCCCCAGATGGAGGGCGGGTGGTTTTCAAAGTGTGGTTCTCGCGTCAGCGCCGCATACACTCGCGTTCAAAATCTGCAAGAGTTTAATGGATTGAGGGCGGGCCGTTTTCAAAATGTGACTCTCGCTGTAGCGCCGCGCACACTCGTTGTAAAACGTTGTAAGAGCTTCACGAATTGACGGCGGATGGTTTTGAAAATGTGGTTGCCGTCACGTTAGCGCCGCACACAGTCGTCTTAATCATTGGCCAGAGTTTCACGGGTTCCCATGGTCAACGTACCAGAAACCATGTTTTCAACGACTCGGGACTGTCAAGGCGCAACAGTTACGTTGATTCGTGGTGTCGAAGTTCCAAAAATGTTGTTTAGGCACGGTCCAGGATCGTCTAGACGCAAGAGCCACGTAGAGTCGTGGCGCTGACGGCCCGAAACGTGTGCTTTTGGGTTTTTCAAGCGGTTGTCTCCCAACGGGGCACTTCCCTCTGTGGAAGTGAACCTTTGTATGGGGCCTGTGAAGAGGGAGCTTGGACAGAGGGTTGATGCCAACATCGTCGGTGGGTCTTGGGTTCACAGTGATCCTCCTCCTTCCCCTCCTCCTCCTCAGGAGGGGGAAGAGATGGACGAGGAAGTGAGGAGGAGGAGGGGGAGGAGGGAAGCGGGGAATAGTATGAAAATGAGGAGGGGGAGGAGGAGGAGGAGGAGGAGGAGGAGGAGGAGGAGGAGGAGGCAGAGGGGGCGAAGAAGGAGCGGGCGGGAGGAGGGTACACCTCTCCCCGCAGGTGCTCGCGCTGTTTCACTCGTGGCTCGCCTGCACGGGCAGGACCACGAAGGAGGTGTGCCGAGGGCTGCCTGGGCCCAACCGCAGGCGGGCGCCGCCGTCGGCGCCGTCGTCCTGCTCCTCGCCCCTCGTCCTCGCCGTCGCCCTAACAGCCAGAACGATGAAGCGAGGACCACTTTGGACCCGGGAGGAGCTCTGGTTTCTGGGCCGCTATTTGGGTCCAGATCACGGGGGCCCGATCGTGGCCGAGGCTCGCCGTGGCCAGAAAAGACGTCTCGTTCCTGATGTGGTGTTCCTTCTGGCAACCCGATGGCTTCATCATGTGTCTCCCGTCGTCCTTTTGACCAGCCACTCCTCGCCGAATTAGCCGAAGCGTCGCCAGGGCGGGCAGGACGTTTTGCTTAAGACCTCCCAGCTTAAATCGTACACAGGTGCCGTCACACGGATGGAATGTGTTTTATATAAAAACATGGTATTAAGAAACGTTACCACATCTTGCAAACTGGAACACAAGCATGCACGTAGTTGCATGTGTGTTTGATCATTATCACATTGTGACTGTTTGTTCGAATGATTTGTTCTTGCATAGTGGATATGTCTGGCAGATCAGAATTGTAAGGATCGGGCAGCTCTTTTCAACACGCGGAAGCCCGTTCCGGTGACAGACGCAACGGGGGTTCGTGTTTGAAGGTGCGCGTCCCGTAGTGTTGATTGATACTTGTCGGGGCTCATGAGAATGAGATGTGGGTTGCAAGGACGTGTTGCAGCATTGTTCATGCAACCTGGGGTTCGTATTCAGTCGGGCGTGTCCCTCTACAGGAGGAAAATTCAAAAATAGTCAAAAATTAGCCTTGTCGACTATTGTTGAGCATTGTTTGCATATTTGTTGACTAGTATTCATTTTTCGTCCAAAATCCCCCTGTAGGCGGACAAGCCCGACTGAAGGTTAGTACGATCCCTCTCGTCTTCCCGCCCCTCTCCTGCTCCCCCATCTACCTCCCCTTTATCCTCATCCTCCAGCCTCCTCGTGCTCCTGGCTCTTCATGAGTCAATATCCTCCGTCCTCCTTCTTCTCCTCGTCCTTCTCCTCCCTCCCCCGCATCATCATAATCAGCAGCATCATCATCAGCATCATCATCATCGTCAGCAGCATCATCATCATCATCATCATCATCGTCAGCATCATCATCATCAGCATCATCATCATCAGCATCATCATCATTATCATCATCATCATCATCGTCATCAGCATCAGCATCAGCATCAGCATCATCGTTATCAGCATCATCAACTGCATAATCATCAGCAGCAGCATCAGCATCACTATCAGCAGCAGCATCAGCATCCTGATCATTAGTATGACTACTATTGCTATTGTCGAGTATTCCCATTATTGTTATCAGCAGCATCATCATCGTCGTCATCGTCATCGTCATCGTCATCGTCATCGTCATCGTCATCGTCCTCATCATCCGCTATCCTGTATGTACCTCCGCTTCCTCTTTCTTCATCATCTTGCCTGCACCTCCTCCGCCTCCGTCATCCTCGTCGTTCCGCAGTGCCGAAGAAGCGCGCTCGCCCGACGCCCCTATTACGTCACCCCAAGCAAAGACAGTAAGCACGTCAGGAACTCGGCCTGCCAGCAAGTGCCCTCACCAACACTCCCCCGAAGGGCTCCAGGGGCCCACGCGAAGTCCTGGGGGGGCACATCAGGAAAGTCGAAAGGCAGGCAATGGAAGTGCCGATTAACTTCTCGCAGCCAGGCATCTCGTGCGCACCTGGTGCAGCACCACGGCGGCATCGTCATTAATTATGTCTGCTCTGCGACGTCCCAAAGCTTTGAAGCATGTGGAGCCAACCTAGGTGGTGTGCAGGGCGAGATGGGCACAGCGCACGCGGACGCGGCAGTCGTGCGGAGCACAAGCGTAGCTTGTCAGCGAGGCGCCAGACAGGGTGCACGACGACCACACGAGTGGCCGAGCGGCGCGCGGAGACGTGGATCGACCACGCGGGCAACCGCGTGCGCGCAGGCTGCCCGCGTAGGGTCGCGCGTGGGCGCGCCCTTTTCCGCCCGAGCTGCCGCCCATTTCCGCCCAAGAGCCCGCGGGGGACTCCTCCTCCTCCTCCTGATGCGGCTGCTGCTGCTCCCCTCCTCCTCCTCCTCCTCCTCCTCCTCCTCCTCCTTCTTCCTTCTCCTCCTCATGATCATCATCATCCTCCTCATCCGCCTCCTTCTCTCTCTCTCTCTCCCTCTCTCTCTTGCTCTCTCGCTTGTGCTGCAGGGTGATGGCCCGCAGTGCCCACGATCGCCTCAGCAATACGACGGCGGACTCGAGGGCGAAAACGCCGCAGCACCGTGGCTGCCTCGGTACGCCCGTTTTGATACGCAACGCGTACCGTGCTCAAAAAGTCCGTGCCAATACGCTGCGTGCTGGCTCCACGTGTTGGCCCACACGTATCGCGCAACATGTACGCGTTCAATCTCCGTGTCGAGCTCCGTGTCAGCACGCCACGGCGTGCGTGTTGCGTGTCGAAGCGGCCGAGGCCTTCAGGTCAGCAGCCCTCCTCGATCTCGTCCCCGCCCTCCCTGCACAAGGGCGCAGGCGCCGTAAGGCGGCGCGCGGCGACGGGTCTTGTCCCTATTCTAGACATCCGACGTTTTTTCTTGGCATCGCTGGTACGTGGGATATTGTCTCGACAGGGACCCTCGAGGAGCACTGTTGTTCAAGCTGCGAAAGAATACACGCACAGGGCCGAGAAATGCCCAGGGACTGGACTTCCGAGCGATGGCGAGTTTCCCCCTAACAGTCCTCTTGCAATTAGGGATTCCTACTCCTCGGTGGTCGGGGAGTTGTCCTGGGGGGGAAGCGAGAGGGAGCGGGCCTTCTCAGAAGGCTCGTAAGCCCCCAGGCCGTCTGAGAAGTTTCCTGAGGGGAGCCTTGAGGCGGGGGTCAATGCAGCCGGGGGTCAGTAAGGGCGCCGCATCTTGCAGGATCCTGCAGAGCCAGGAGTGTATTGACCTGGGCTAGGGCGCAGGATCCTGCGGGATTCTGCTGGATCTTGCAGGATCCTGCAAAGCCCAACCGACCCAGGTTTGGATTGACCCAAGTCAGTGGATCCCCGACTGAGCTTTCCCCGAAGACACGGATCACTTCTCAGAAGGCCAGAGGGTTTCTGAGAATCCCCACCGTTTTCTGAGAGAGCCCTCTCCTTCTCAGTTCCCCACCTCGCTCGCCGCCGAACTTCCCTTACTGGCTAAAGAACCTGATGGGTCCGTCCAGGTTTCGCCACGCTGCCAGGCGTGGCCGTCAAGGCCGCTTCGTGCGCTGGGTGGGTCCGGCGAGGTTTCGCCGCGTTGCCGCCCGTGGCGGCCTCGTGGCCGCCTCTAGCTTGCACCACGTATGCTGCAGCACCTCCAGCCTGCACATCTGCAGTGCAAGAACTTGCTGTTTGGGATCCACGCGGGCTGACATGTTTTTTTCAATACGGGGCCCCCGGAAGTCCCGACCTGTTCCCCCTGGCTGGCTTTTCATCCTCGGTAGGTTTTGTGATGGTCTTGGGGGCCTGGCGAGAGCTCCCAGGAACCAACGATCGAGAAAAGCCTCCTTATTAAATTTTTGTTTGCTTTGAATGTCTCAGTTCCTTGCTTCCTCCTCCCCTTGGCGCCCGCCGCCCCCAGGCCGGAGGCCCGGGCCCTCGCGAGCACCGCGAGCAACGACAGCGGGCCCACGATCTTCTCTCTGAGGGGGCCCTCGCTTCTGCACGCGCGGGAGCGCGTGTGCTACCCGGTCGCCAGCATCGGGCCGATGCTGGCGGCCTGAGTTTCGGAGCTCTGCCCGTCGCCGTAGGTTCCCGACATCCCTTGAGATCCTGGCGTCCCATGGTTTCCACCACGGGCGACTCTGGCCTGTTCCGGGCCCCTGGGCACTCTCGGTCCGCTCTGGCTCGAGACATTCAGCAGGACCGGGTGCAGGGCTCCAGCCGAGTGTTTGTAGTGTTGCATGTTGTCGTGACGTCAGATCTCTGGGTTCAACGGAGGTTCGGAGGTCATTCTCACTAGGGGGCCTCTCGGTGCCACTGCCGGGCCCAGGGGCCGTCAAACAACGACTTGGGATGAAGAGCCGGCCCTGAGAACGGTCGGGACTTCCAGGGACCCCGCCCTGAAATGAAAAATTTGGATATCGGACGTCTGGGAAGGAGAGGGGCCCTGGAGGAAAAGGGGGTCCCCGAGGTGTTTCGTCTCTCGCGGGCTCCGCAGAGGGGCCCTTCCAGGCCGCGGGAGTGCCAGAGAGCACCTCGCGATGCAAGGCTGGTCCCGCGGGGGAAGCCCCAATGTCTGGGGTCAAGATCCACCAGGGCCCACCTCCATCTTGCCGGCAGGTGGCCGGTGGTTAGGCGCAGGAGGTCGCGGAACTCCAGAGTCTGAGCCCCTCGGGCCCCAAAACCTACGCCCCGGGATTGACAAATCTGGCCCCCGCCGGGCTCATAAAGAACCGAGCTGGGGAAGATGAATTACTTTTGTCTCTCTCTCTCTCTCTCTCTCTTTTGGAGGAGGAGGAGGATCCCTCGTTCTTCAATTCGTCGGAGAGGAGGAGGAGGAGGAGGAGGAGGAGGAGGAGGAGGAGGAGGAGGAGGAGTAGGATCACAAAGTTCGGCCTCGGGGCTCGAATCTGAGCCTGGCGCCCCGCTACCAGGGGGAGTGCCAACTGAACTTTTGCACCGATCCTGGCAGGACCCACGCCTGGGTTGGCTTCCCAGGCCTCTTCACGCCGTAGCCTTGAGTCGGGCATGTCCCTCTGCAGGAGGACTATTCAAGAGTAATTAGTCAAAATTTGTCTGGGGACGATTTTTCGTGATCTTTGGATTTTTTGTTGAACATGTTTTCACTATTTTTTATGTTTCTTCAAAAATCCGCCTGTAGGGGAGCATGACGACGTGGGCCTCTCACGTCGAGCTCTCGACCTTATTGTTTCAGGATTGGCTTTCCGCCGCAGGTCGCTCGCTGCACAATGGAGAAAGCGGGCTTCCCTTCCGCCTGCTTTGCATCCATCTCCCTCCTCCTCCTCCTCATCTTCCTCCTCCTCCTAGCCGCCGCGAGGGGTTCAGGAAGCGCGCTCGGCCGCGACCAGCGCACTCACTTCTCCTGACGGCGCGCCCCTCTTCTCGCAGAGGCCAGGTGGGGGAGGGGCGCAGCTGTTCATCACACTAACTATATTCGGGCGGCCAATGCCATGCGCACCATTTCTTACAATCCTCTCTCTGCCAGTTCGGTCGAGCGTCTCTCGGACATTAGCACGGAACTACGGACGTGGGATGTCGTACTTGTGTGTGGCACGGGTGAGATGACGAGCGCAGAGACATCTAGGTGTGTGACCCTCCCTAGCCACTGGTGTATTCGTATGGGTGCGCGCAAAGGACGGTTTGTCACGAAAGCCTGCGGTCTTGCAATCCTGGTACACAAAAAATGCCCGACCCACTGCTTGAGGGGAATCTACCAACCCCCTGGACTACTGCAGGGACGGGTCGGAGGAATTAAACTGGCGCTGTCCTCCTGCGAAGTGGCTCTCTTCTCGACGTACTACGCACCCACGCATGTCAAGAGCTATGGGGAGGTGGGGAGGCGTATTAGTGAGTGGTTGGAGGGAACGACGGACAGGCTAGGAGCACGTACGCTGACGGTCATTGGGGGGGGAACATCAATTCCGACTTTGGGCTTCACCGTGCCAGCAACGGGACTGTCCAAAGAACGGTTGCGAGTTGCCTGGGGCCCCACGCGGCAGCGTTTGAAACTGATAACGGACAGCACTTTCGTCAGTTCTGTCAAACCAGCGATTTCATAGTGGCTACCACTACCCACGACCCAGGCCCTACCTTCTTTGGCCCCAAGTGTGGAACAAGCCGAATCGACCACTTCGCTATCCCGCAAGGCGCAGCCCACCTGGTCCAGAAATGCATAGCACTCCACACGTCTGGGAAGCGGCTGCAGCTTATCCAAGCCAAAGGCTCGCGGGGCCATGCGCCGATTGGGTTGGTCATCGATGCGCGGATCAGACATGCCCCGACCAATCGACCGAAGCCAGAGGACCGACTCGACAGGGACCAGCTCATGTCTTGTTTGAGGAGAGGATATAAAAGGCAGGAGGTGCCGGATAGGATCGAGGAGGAGCTGAGCAAGATCGAGGAGGAGGAGTGGAGGGAGCTGCTGGACGGACCGACCCCAGATCGAGCGCGGCAACGGTACAGGGAGGCAGTCAGGACAGCACTACAACAGATCTTCGGTGCCCAACGCCAGAAGGGGGGATGTGTGTTACCGTGCTATGCAGACACAAAGGATGGAACTGCTGGCGCAGAGACGCACTATCGGACAGCGCTTGGGCCCTGGGATCTCCGACGAGCAGCTCAAGCAAGTGGCAACGCAGCTAAAGGATGTCACAAGCGTGCTTAAGCAGATCAGGGAGAGCTATGAGACCCAGCGAAAAGCCCGACTGGTCGAGGAGATTTGGGATGCGCCAGATCGGGGGGATTTCGCCGAGATGCACCGACTTAGGATCCAGTGCCAGGCGAACGGTCGCGGGCCCAAGCGTAGATTCTCCGTTGCCCCTCGCACGCACTGGTCTGCCGAGCAGTGGGCGAACGAGCTAGCGAAGAGCCCGCGCGAAGGAGGCCTCAGCGCGCATGTCATAGATTTGGACCAGCAGCTGCTGGAGAGGGAAGCACACTACTCCCAACTGTTGCCACACCCCGTAGACAGTGACCTTTGTTGCCGAGCTGCTGAAGACCATGCCGCTATGCTACGTTATTGCAAAAAGGCCAAAAAGAGAAGGGCCTGGCCTGCATGGGGCCTCCCTGTGGAAGTCACGCTCCCCTTACTTGACCTTCGAATAAACCTAGGTGATCCGACAGCGTCAGGAGCGCAGGCACGAGCGACGCGGGAGGAGGAGGGCACGCAGCATACTATCGAGCGACGGTTGCAGAAGGGGAGGGCGCTACTGGAGAGGTTGGGATGGACAGGAGGAAGCTTGGGGGGGAGAGGAGGTGCACCGACGGAACCCGCCAACTTAGTCATTCACTACACAGTGGGAAAGGGGACCCAGAGCTGGACTTGGAGTTATACAGTGGGGACAAGGCAACCACGCGGCGGCGAGGAGACTCATGGGTGTGCTGATTATGTGTCGAAGTACCCGGACCACCCCCCTTGAGCGGCATAGGTCCAAGGCGTTCGGAGCAGATAAGAACAACAGACGACAGGGGGTATTAGGAAAGCACATCATGCACTCGTACTGCAGTGTAGGCATGTCGTGGCACGCGGGCATACACAGACGTGGCGCGCCATTTCAGCATGCTGCGTGGGCGCAGGGTGGGCTACCGCACCGGTGTGGGGAGAACGCTCTTGCCATTCTGATGGCGACGAAACGGAAGGCTGAGCAGCTAGGATAAGGCTCTGTGTGCACCAACTATGATTGCTCTAACGCGTTTGCCTCTACAAATAAGCGCCCCCTGCATGCAGCTGCCTTCGAACAAGCTGATGAATGGGACCGAGTGCACTCTGTGGAAGTCATCGAGATAGAAACACCCACGGAAGCCGTCACAATGGAGACCCTCTCGGGGGCCCAGATGGGCTTCACGTTGGCACCGAGGCAATTGAATGACAGCTACAACCTATATGTGCAACATTGGAACGACGGCGTGCGAAGCGATCCCATGCAAAAGCTACGCGACACCCAGCACCCCATTATTCACCAGGTGCACGACCTCAGCCTCAACACATTCATGGATGATATCACCAAGACTCACATCCCCCCAGCTGGAGCGCCAGCGACCCACGTCACTGCCCACCTGAACCAGGCCACGCAAGAGCTCGAGACAACACTTGCCAAGGGCAACTGGAAGCTCAATCCCCACCAAAACCAACCACCTCCTCTGCCTCCGAGGCCATGGGAGCTACAGCTGCACCCGCAAGTTGCGCCGTTCAAAGGAGCTAAAGGGCATTTCCCTGAGGGAAATGAGGGCGCTGGGGCCGTCTATCCCGTCCGATCAAGGCATCTCGGGGGGAATCAAGAAACGGTGCGACGCGATCCGCCTCGCCTGGAGGCAAGGCGGCACCTTCTGGAGCTCCAAGGACAGCTTCGCAGCTAAACGAATTACATTCATTGCGTTTGTGTTCAGAGCTGGCCTCAGCGGATTGACGGCAATGGTATTCAGCCCATGCCACACTGCTACTCTAGATGCGGTGATCGGCAAATACTTGCGCACGCTCGCTCGAGGCAAAATGTCGTGGACACGAGCGGACGGCACAGTGCGATGTTTCAGCACAGCACGCGTGTTCAGGGAATGGAGGCTCGAGAGGACAGAAGACGCTCTACGGGCACGGCGACTAAAATGGCATCAACAGTGGGCTACGTTTCCAGAAGACCACGGCAACCTGATTGCAGCTATCTCTGGCCTCAGTGTGATGGAGCGGTTGAAGGGTGTTACACGATTGTTGCCAGGGGGATGGGTGGGATCTCACTCTACGCCTATGGCTCAACAGTATCGGCACGATCTAGATTTGCTAGCAGAGATGGACGAACATATGCGAGCTTGGTACGAGCACTGCACGTCGGATCTGGCCATACTTACACCAGGAACCGAGGAGTGGCGGCAGTGGCTATGCGTTGACACGAGCATATTGCGCAGTGCAGCGCAGCGGGGAGGAGGCAAAGCAGAGGGAGAGGACGAGACGATGGAGGAGCAGGAGGAGGCACTTGCGCGTCCCTTTTCGCGCGATCACCCGCGCGTCGACGACGGAGGAAGGGAGACAGTATGCGGGAGGAGGTTCAGGACAGCAAAGGCACTACAGGCACACAAGAGAGGAGTGCACAACCTTCCCACGCTGCTCACAGTGCTTGCTACCACTAATAAATGCCCTCGGTGTCTCAGTGTATTCCTCCATCGAAAGACGGCGATAGACCATTGTCACAGGGCTGTAGAACGGCATGGCACGTGCGATGTCGACCGCAGCAAATGGGCCCACGAACTATTGGAACCAGCCTCATTGGAGCGCGGCCTCTGTGAACACGAGGCCCAAGACCTACTCTCTTTTCAGTGCCGCGTTCGATCTCATCACGAAGGCCCCCGCTCGGTCAAAGAGCGTACTTGCCATGGCGGCGCTGGCACCGAGAGCGGACTGGCAGCTGGCTGGCAAGCGCGGCGCAAGCAGCGACCTGACAGGAGAACGACGCTCGTCGCCGGCAGCACCGGCAGCAGCAAGCGGCGGTGGAAGGGGGACAGCAGCCACCACGAGGACGCGGCGACGGCCACGACCACTACGACGACCGCCTGAACGTGACGATGAGGCTCGCCCTGCGAAATGCGCAAGAGTTGAGGGAGGCGATGCACGTGCTGTCCGACTTCTGGCTAATCCCAGCGCAGGCCAGGGCCTTCCAAGCGGGCCTGCAGGCAGCCAAGAAGTACGCCACGGAGGTCCGCTCCCGCGGGAAGAAGCATGGCTTGGGACCCCCGCGCGCGCACGTGGCCATCGAAGTGATGCGCGAGCTGCACGAGTCCATGGACGGGGCCAACGGCAGTATCATGGAGAAGGAGAGCAAAGCCATCCTGCTGGAGTTCATCAACTCGACGGCGAACTCTTACGGCCAGGCCATGACCGAGGAGATCTTCAAGAGCTCCAAGGTCAACGAGACGTACAAGAGGGAGGGCGAGGACGAGGGGGACAGGCACGGCAAGCTCCAGTACAGCCTGAACCCGACCCCAGTGCTGGGCGCCATCCTACAGGGGAAGGAGATCGGGGAGACCGAGCTCGCATGGGTGCGGAACTTCTCAGTGTTCAAGCTCAAGGAGGCGATGACGGTCAGCCTGCTGGGCCTCAACGCGACCAAGGGGAAGGCCTCTGCCCCCGAGAGCGCCCTGGAGAGAGCGGTCGAATCGCCCTTGCGCCGCAGGCAGTAACGACGGCGCCAGTATCCCGACACAACCTGCCGATGCTAGGCGACGTTGCTGGGCGGCCAGGTCGAGAGGCGCCCGCGGCGGTTGCCAGCGGTACGTTGTTGCCTCCGCCTCCTCTCTCGTCGTCCCCTGCGCGCTGGCCACCAGAGAGTGAGATGGAAAAGCTTGCTCATGCGATCAGTCTTGACCCGAAGAAATTCCAGATACTCAGGGAACAGAGAAAAACCAATGGCAAATTCGAGGAGATGTACGCCCTTGTAGTGCAGCGTCGCGAACGACGCAAGCACATTGTGGACCTCAGCCAGGGACTCGCACAGGGACCTCCTAGGACCCCAGGCCAAAGTTCAGCAGGACAAGGTACCGACCTACAGGCACCAGTACGAGGACCACAAGTGCACCCGACGGGGCCCAAGCAACATAGCAGTGAAATGTGACGCCCGACTCCTGCACAACAGCGTGATGACATTCAATTACCTTTGCAGCATCGACTTGCAGTCTCGGCTCAACAGCAGAGATCCAGTCTTCCTTCACCTTGCACTGCTCTCGCATACGACGGTGAGCCCACGCTTGAGGGAACCGCACCCAGCCGACACAGAGCATTTCGACATTCGATATGCGCCATGACTGGCCGACAGTCGGTGGGCAGCAGGTGCAGCCGAGATAATATCCGAGGGGAGTGAGACCACTGAGGCGACAGCACGCATCCAGGCGGCGCTGCAGCTATATTGCAATCCCACTGCAGCTGCTAGCGATCCCCTGCTTATCTTGCTGTCTCTGCTCTTCCTCTCGCGTGCTGATTGACGTGTTATTCTCGCGCCGCGCCTAGGCCGAAGGGCTGGGCAGGGCAGGAGGGTTCAGGTATTTCGAGCGCGGGCAGTTCGTCCAGATGCGAACAGCCGCCTCTCTTTCTCTCTCTTCTTTGCTGCAAGGGGGAGCCGCCCCTTGGGAGGCCCCACGCCCAGGGAGGCCTGGGTGCTTCCCCACGCCGTTTTTGGGTTTGAACGGGCTGCTCTGCCCACTCCCCCTGCCGACATTGGGAACGGTGTTCGGGCCTCCCCATGTCGGCGTGGAGGAGTGGGTTGTGGTGGCCAGCTCGAGCCCCTCTGCGAGGCCCGTGCCTCGCCGCCGATGGCCACTCACCTTGCGTGCATCGGCTCGCTAGGTGAGTCGCCAGGCTGGCCCAGTCCCGAAGAGAGGGCCAGCTCTTACGTATCCGCAGGGGTCTCACAAGCTCACAAGCGTAGAGGAGCTACTACTACCCCCGAGCGCCAGCCATGCCTTGCCTTGCCTTGCCTTGCCTCCTCCTCCTCCTCCTCCTCCTCCTCCTCCTCCTCCTCCTCCTCCTCCTCCTCCTCCTCCTCCTCCTCCTCCCCCTCTTCCCCCTCTTCCTCCTCCTCCTGCTGACGCGCGGGGTCCAAAACCCGGATAGCAGGGCGCCAGAAGAGCGTGCGAAGCCTGTCGAAGAACTCTGGGAGGACCTGGAGGGAGCTTCCGAAGGACTTTCTGGAGAGCTTCCAGGCACACGTATTGGAAAATGTTTTGAAAAGGTCTTTAGGAACACGCTGCAGGGTCACAGGAGGCGCTGCGACGTTGGAAAACGGATGCCGGAACGACCTCCGGGGCTATTTTGCGGCTCCGGCCTCTTGATGTGAAACCCTCTTAACTCTCCAAAGAGCTATCTAGGAACATTTAATCGGCGACCGATAGCAAGAATTTGGAGGAAGGGTTTACTGAAACATCTTTAATGCGTCTTGGGTTTACACTGGTCCTCCTCCTCCTCCTCCTCCTCCTGCGTCTTGGGTTTACAGTGGTCCTCCTCCTGCTCCTTCCTGCTCCTCCTCCTCCTCCTCTTCCTCCTCCTCCTCCTCCGCCGGCCGATCGCCGAGTAGCAAGAGAAGGGCAAAGAGGTCAAGCTGGGGCTCACTCCCCCGAGGTCCTGGCCCAGAACGCGCTCTGGGAGAGGCCGAGGTGGTGATTTCGAGGGGGGCAGAAGGAGGAGACGGAGGAGGAGGTGGAGGAGGAGGAGGGGGAGGAGGAGATGGAGGAATGGAGAGGAGGAGAGGAGAAAGAGGCGGATTCCAGCGATTCTAGCAAACAGGTGTGAACAAGGAGGAAGAGACGGAGGAGGACGAAGATGAGAGAGAGGGAGGGAGAGAGGGAGGGAGGGAGGGAGGAGGAGGAGCAGCAGAAACAGGAAAGGGTGGGAGGAGGCAAGGGGAAGGAAAAGGCGGAGGCAGAGACGGAGGAGGATTGGGAGGAGGAGGAGGAGGAGGAGGAGGAGGATCTGTGTAAACCCAAGACTCATCAACGATGTTGGAATAAACACTCCCGCCGAGCTTCATCATAGGCTCCTAGAAGGGTACATTTCAACTGATGGAAGTGCCACGTTGGGGCACAACCGACTGAAGGTCCTGCAGCGTGCCAAAACTCCATGCCCGGGACTCCAACGCCACGAGTCAACCTGAATTGCGTCTTGACGATCCTGAAGCGCGCAAGAACACCATTCCTGGGATTTCAACACCGCGAATCAACGTCACTGCTGCGCCCTGATTGCCATGATCCAGTTCAAAACACAGTTTCTGGTGCGTTAACTATGGGAACCCGTGAGTCTGTTGCAAATGCTTGAAACGAATGTGCGCGGCGCTAAGGCGAGATCCACGTGGTGAAAAGGAGCCGCCCTCAATCTCTGCAGCTGCTGCAGAAGGTCAAACCACTGTGCGCGGCGCTGGAGCGGGAGCCACATTTTGAAAGCGGCCCGCTCCCAACCCGCCGAACTCTTGCAATGTTTGAAAAAGCCCATGTGATGAGCGGCGCTGGGGCGAGAGCAACACTTTGAATGCCGCCCGCCGTCCAGTCCGTGAAGCTGATTCAGCGTTCCAGCTTCTGGGCCGTAGAGCAGTGAGGATGCGAGCCGCCCGGCCCGCCCTGTCGACCGGCCTCGGGGCTCGACAGGGAGGAGCCGTCTGTGAAGAAACCCTGAGATCCCACGTAGCAGAAAAACTGCAACGTCGTAGAAATCACGCCCGAAGCCCTAGACCACAGCTTTCTGCGTCATTGCTCGAGCCGGATCGATCTGCGACCGACCAGAGGCGAACACGCCCGGCTCGAAAAAATGGAGACGCCAGGCTCTCAGGGAAAGCAGCGGAGGAGCCGGGCTCGGGGCGAAGCCCAGGCGAAGGGCGCCGTGAGGGCGCCCCGAGGCCCGGGTGCACTTGTCGTCCCCATTCCGCGAGGCGCTTGCGCCCAGGGGAGGCCGCCGCGCTTTTCGGCGCGCCCGGGCGTCCCCCGCGCCTAGACGGCAGGAAGCTGGAACACGCGAGGGTCGCCAGGAAGAGCATGGGGCCCTGCCTACAGGCAGCCCGCACAGTAGGGAAGAGCAGCGTTTCCAAGTTTACCTTTGCATTCTTGACGTTTTGCCTTGCGCCCTCAGGTTTCGAATCTCCGAGAATCGTGAAGACGGCCTTTCAAGGCCCTTGCATCCTTACCGCGCATCCTTATTATACGGGTTGACTGTGCCAGCCTGGAACATAGCCTTACGCATATGATCGGGACGATCGACATGGTACGGAAAGAATGGGTACGATGCCCCACAGCAGTTCCTTGTCATTTTGAACAGGAATCACTGTCCGCGCCGCCGCGGACGTTGTTCTTTGAAGACGACCAGCCGCCTGCCCAACAGCGGCCGCTGTCGGTTTTGGACAACATGTGTTGTTCGGCATTGCATCCTTTTTTCCGTACTCATTCCTGGCGTCCAGGTATGGTCGGCATCATTTGATCTCGATGTCGATTGTACGTAAGGATCCCGTCGCCTTCTGAGGGCTCAACTGCAAGAGTGTCATCGCTGTCGGGCTCGTCAATCTTAGGGGTAGGGATAAGGCCGAGGCTGGTTCCGCAGGAGAGGGGCCCTGTCTCTGTGAGATCTTGGCGTCTCAATATTTTCGAGCCGGCCGTTTTTGCCCAGTTTCGGCCCAGTGGCCCTCACACATCGATCCGGCTCGAAGAACGGCGCAGAAAGATGGGGTCGGGGGCCCTGGTCGTGATTGTTCCTTCTATGTTTTACCTAATCCCAGCGACGTCTTGATTCCCTACCTAGGCTCTGCCTAGAAGGGTTCTTACTCGGTTAGCTTAAAGGGCCGGGCAGTGCTAACCGCCCCGGGCGGTTCCCCCGGTCCCCTGGGAGAGGTTCCCCCGGTTGCGCTCCCTGGGTGCCAAGCAAAAGCAAAAGCAAAGGCAAAAGTGAAGGTAAAAGCGAAAGAAAAGCAAAAGCAAAAGCATAGCATAGCATAGCATAGCATAGCATAGTATAGCGCAGCATAGCATAGCGCAACATAGCATAGCGCAGCATAGCATAGCCTAGCCTAGCCTAGCCCAGCCCAGTATAGCATTGCGCAGCATAGCATAGCATAGCATAGCATAGCATAGCATAGCATAGCATCGCGCAGCACAGCATCCACTTACGGCGTGGCGTCGGCGGTTCTGGCGCTACTACTACTACTACTACTACTACTACTACTACTACTACTACTTCTACTACTTCTACTACTTCTACTACTTCTACTATTACTTCTACTACTACTTACTACTATACTACTACTACTACTACTACTACTACTACTACTACTACTACTACTACTACTACTACTACTACTACTACTACTACTACTACTACTACTACTACTACTACTACTACTACTACTGCTATTGCTACAACTACGACGATGAGGAGAAGGAGGAGGACGGCGTTTACCGCTCCTACTAATGTTGCTTTCCTAGAGGCTCCAACTCCTAGGTAGGGTCGCACTGGGATATTTTTTTCAAGACGGGGTCCCCATGAAGTCCCGACCTTTCCCCCTGGACAGATGTTTCATCTTGAGTCGTTTTTGACGGTCCCGGGGCCCGGTAAGGGCCCCCAGGAGCCGAAAACGGCCCAAAACTTCCCGTCGTGATTTTTTGACGACGCGATCATGTCTGGGATTGTTTCGCGACGTCTCTTTGCGATGGCCGAAATTCTAGACGCTTCGCGTAACCCCACCAGCTATCTGCAGGTGCACTCTGCGCGATGTCGCGCCAATTATCTGTCGCTGTGCCCCAGCCTCGGTCACTCCGCCCTCTGGACTTCTCCTTGCGGGCCGCGAATCAAAAAGTAACTCCACCAGCATGTGGTTCGGCTGGAGTTCGGCGCCGAAGGGGCGACTTGTCCTTCCCGTTCCGCCGCCGGTCGCCGCGCCTGCGTCCCCACCTGCCGGGATGTCTGGGCCGGTCTCCTGCCGACGCAGTCTGCGTTTTAATGAAGGTCATTTTGTCCCTGGCACGTGCCTTCGCTTCGGAGGCCAATTTACATCGACACGCGCCCCGGACGTTGTGCTTGCTCCCTGTCATTCGCCTTGGAGCCACGAGCCAAAAAGTAACCCCACCAGCTTGCGGGCTCTTGCAGTAACTAGTGCGTGGCTAAACAAGAAAGCGCGCATTGCTTACACCAGGTGGCGCATATGGGACGGCGTGCTAGCCCAATGGAAGACCTCATCATCTGCGTTTGCGCGCTATTTCGCGGCTGAAAGAGCCCAGCTTTTCCCAAAACTTCGTGTGAAGAACAACGGCAAGCTGGTGCCAGTGGCGGGTTTACTGAGGTAAGCTTCGATACAGAGCGCCTGGCGTGCGCGTCAGTGTACACAGGGTTATGGTGAGCTCTCCTCCTTCTCCTTTTGCTTCAGCGGTTAGCTGACTCTCCCTCTCCTGTTTCACTGGGATCTTCCCTCGCGGCTGGGGTTGCCGCCAATGCCGCTGCCGGGTGATGCTCCGCCAACTTGGATTTCACGCGGAAATGGCACAGCCACGATTGGCATAGTCAGCAACAACTGTTCGAGTAAATGTTTTTCCGTTCTCCTCTTCTTCTCTCACACCGTGTGCCTGGCACTTCTTTTCCTCCCCTCCTGCATCGAACGCTGCAGCGGTTAGCTGCCACACCGTGGTGCCTACCGCGCCTGGCGTGCACTTTCCCCCCTCTCCTTTGTTTCACCGGGTTTATCCCACGCGGCTGGGGTTGCCGCCAATACCGCTGTCTGATAGTGCTCTGGCAGCTTCAAGTCCATGCAAGGATCACGCTGGGAATGGGCGGTAAGGTGCCCCCTGGCCTGCTCCTGGTTAGTGTCGGCCTCCACTGATGGCCGACAGGGTTCAGTGGGATCTTGCTACGCTGCCGACCTCTACGGTGCAAGGACTTCGGGTTCGGCATGTGTGGTTCGGTGCGCCCGTCGGCTGCTTTCCCCTGCAAGGACTCCGCTGTCGACATCTGCTACTGCTGCACAAACAAGAATTACTGCCGCTTGCCGTCGTCCTATCTGTGACGAGGTTGCCCCCTCTTCACTCTTGCGCTGACACGGTGTTTCGACATTTGTGTTCGTCCACTTCACGGATGTCATCTGGGGATGCTTGTCGGTTTCGTTCGTCTCTGACGTCGCCGTCTGACTGACTCACACCGAGTGATCGACCTCTTCGTGATTTTGGTCGCGCTCCCGCGCGATTTTGGCTGCGTCTACTTGCTGGTAGCCACCGGGGTTTTCGGACGCCATCGGGAATGGGTCTCTCCTCGCCTTTCTGAGTTGCCGCCCGTTTGCTGCGCCTGTCTTGCTTTTCCGCTTGTCCGTTTTTCCGCTGCCTAGTCGTGGCCCGGCTAGAGTTTGGACGCCTTTTGACCCGCTTCACGAGGCCGTTGACCAAAAAAGTAGCCCCACCAGCCCATCCAGAAACGATGCCCAGAGGAATTGCCTCGATCAGGGAAGTGGGCAGCACACAGAGGAAGGGTCCCCCAATGGAGGCCTCTTGGAGCGTCTTGGGCGCCTCGGAGAGCGTCTGTTGGGAGCATTTTGGAGGCCTCTTGGGCGCCTGTTGGGGCCTCCTGGGCGCCTCTTGAAGCGTTCTTGGGAGCCTTGGGGGCGCTCGTGGGGCCATATTGGAGGACATCGATCAAACAAACAGCGAGCATTAGTTTTGCGCTGCCCTTCGGAAGCCCAAATAATCGCCTCTTGGGGCGCTTTTGGGGCGCTCCTGGAGCGCTCTTGGGCGTTTTGGGGGCTGTATTGGGGTTCTCTTGAGCCTCTCTTGGAGCCCTCTTTGGCCATCCTGGAACCATCTTGAGGCTTCAGATGGCCATCGGAAGCGACAAGGCGAGAAAGCCAAACACATAGATGTTCCTAAGGTGTTGGCCTCTTCGGGGCCTCCTGGGGGAGCTCTTTCGCCAATTGGAGCCGTCTTGGAGCGGTCTTGGGGCATCTTGGAGCATCGTGGGAGCCATTGTGAGACATCTTGGGATGTCCTGAGCCTTCTTGGAGGTCATTTGGGGTTCGCCCAGGCGCTGTTGGAGTTATCTTAATCACTCCCCCCCCAAGAGGCCAGAATGTGGCTAAAACGCTGGTAAAATCAATGGTTTGGCATCTTGGGTGCCGAAGCCTCTTGGAGCATCTTGGGTGCCTCTGGGGGGTCTCTTGGGGCCTCTTGGAGGTGTCTTGGGAGCCTCTTGGGGGCATCCTGGGGGCCTCTTGGGGTTTCCTGGCCACCTCTTGGGGCCTTCTTGGGGCACCCTTGGGAGCCTTGGGGGCCATCTTTGGGCCGTCTTGGGCGAGATCGATCACGGGAGGGGTGTGTGTCTAATTAGGGTCCCCCTCAGAAGGCCAAAATGGGGCCAAAACTTCAGTAAAACCAGTGATTTTGGCTTCCTCGCCGAGGCCGTTTTGAACGCCCTGATACCTCGCGAACCCCCCCGTCCAGGTCCAGGGGGAGGGGGGAGGGGGAGGGGTAAACCCATCCCCGAAAGGGGAAGAAAGAGGTTGGAAGAGGAAACTCCTTAAACCACCTACGCCCAGAGGGCTGGTGGGATTCGCGCCGACTGAAATCACCAAGCGCGTGCAGTTGTCGGCGCTTCTGAGGCACGCGGCCCGGAGGGGCCCCAAAAACACCCGCGTTTTCGCATGCGCTTCGCCGAGCTATCGCAGAGCCCTCCCTGTGCCCCCTGGGGCCATCAAGAGAGACGGCCCGGATCAGAAGCGGGCTCCAGGGCCAGTCCCATGGGGTCAAGGCCCCGTGTCCACCATGGCCCGCCTCATTCATTCGAAGAAGAAAGGGCATAAACATAAAATGTTGGCGCTCCGCGCGGATTTCTTGGATCCGCGCTGGGCCCCCCCGGCGGCGCCTCCGGCGCCGTTCCTGGCGCGCGGAGCGCGCCAGGGAGGGGGTCAAGTGCAGATCCAGGAAATCCGCGCGGAGCGCCAAGGGTTTATGTTTATGCCGTTTTTCTTCTTGTAATGGAGTCAAGGACCCGTTTCCACGATGGCCCGCCTCGTTCATGCTGGACGAGCGGGGCAAGTCGTAATTAGCTCGAAGCACGAGTGAGGATGAGTACCGAGGTCTTTGGACGTTTTTGTGCTGCTTGGCCTTGGGAGGCATTCGGGGACTTCGGAGGCCTCGGGGATTTCCAGAGACCCCCGCAGGCCTCGGGAAAGCGACGTGGACTTTCACGCGGACATTCGCGCGTGAGCGCCGTCTTTTGACGTGGTGTGCCGCACTGGCGGCCTGCGTAGGGCATCGCGTAAGGTCGCCGTGTCCTTATGCGCATGACGTATGGCCCCTCTTTTCGTTGCCCATCCTGGGCGAGCGCTTGACTGACATGTGGCCGCACGTCCTTCCAGCGCTCCAGCCTTCCATGGCCAGGTGGCCCAGCCATTCAGATGTGTACCTGGCGAGTGATTTCTGAATGACCCGCGTGCGCAGCCATGCTTGTTCCAGCTTCCTGGTGGCTTTTTTCCCCGTTGCGGAGGGCGCGCCGAAAGGTCGAACGTGAATTGGATTTGGTCGTGCTGGCGCGGGCCCGCACGCACCGCTGGACGTCAGACCTCGAGTACTACACGCATTCAATTTCGGAGGGGTGCCAAAACATCACGCCATTATCGTGTGGGATCGTCGCAGCAGTGTCAGCCATTGTATTCAAGCTTCGCGGCCGGGACATTTTTGACAGATGGCAGCGACGTCCTGCTTGCCAGTCTCGCTGTCAGGGCCCCTCCCCCGACAGCGAGTTACGCGTCTTCATTATTCGATATGTCATTCTTCCATTTACGTCCCTGGCAGGCCTAGTCCCTGCCGCGGGCAAGGACGCGCCCCCTGGTAGCTTGAGAGTCACCTTACAGACTTATAGCACGCACGAGCCACTGACCTCAGGGTTGTATGAACTCATATGCGAGGGGTCCGCGGGAGGGGTTCTGGAAGCTCCATGGTTGTTCTTTTTGCGCCATCGGTCCCAACATCGGCCCATCAGGAACGCCCCTGCTTGCACAAACGCGGTTGCTGAAGTGAGTCCGCAACCCTTTCATATCATGACAAGGCGCGGGTACCATGACTACGCCTTCAAGAATCCAAGAAGGATCCCTTCATCGCAAGGCGTGGGAACATCGTATCAAGGGGAGAGAGAGAGAGAGAGTACAGTCAACGCGCCTAGTAAAGACTCGCGCCTTCATCTAGGGTAATTACCCTTGTGTCCTTGCCTCTGCGGCCCGCCCTTTGCCGCTTTCACTGGTCGCCCGCCGCCCCAAAAATCTCAGCTTCGGCCTCCAAGGGTCTTGCGTCCTTACCACCTGTCCTGAACACACGTTTTGACTGTGCCCCCATTAGTGTCAATACCACGAGCCCTGCTGACAGCAGAGCCGGATGTGCGGAGCAGCGCAGTCGGACCAACGCCCGACGTCCCACATGGACGGTGGGCGCGAGTGGGGCACCTCGCTGCTGCGAGAAGGCCAGCTGTTGCTTCTGGGACTGGCTCCCTCGAGCGCCCTGCTCGGCAGAAGGGCGCTCTCCTGCCCGCCCTGCGGCAAGCTCGCGCCACGCCCGACGCGGCTGCAACGCCAGGCCTGGACCTCGCCGGAGTCGAACGATGAGCGCTATCGGAAAGCTGGGGCCGTGCAAGTTTCAGGGGCCCACTCAGCGTCACCGGGCCAGCGCTGGCGCCATGGCGACGCGGACTTGCCATGGTCAGGTATCGCCAGCTATTGCGCACAGGAACCAGGATTCGCGGGTGCTGGTGCCGGACGACCAGCGCTGTCAGGATGCCGCGGTCGCTCCGAGGGCCAAGTTTCAGGGCTTAATACGGTGTCACCAGGCCAGCGCCGATGCCATCGCGGCGCGGACTGGCCATGACTAGTCATTGCCAGCCACTGCGCACAGGAAGCAGTATTCGCGGGTGCTGGGGCCAGACGACCAGCTCTGTCGGGATGGCGCGGTGGTTCCGAGGGCCACGGTTCAGGGGCGGGCACGGTGTCAGTGGGCCAGCCCCAACGCCATCGCGACGCGGACTTGCCATGACGAGGCATCGCCATCCACTGCGCACAGGAAGCAGTTATTCGCGGGTGCCGGTGCTGGACGGTCAGCGCCGTCGGGCAGCCGCGGTCGTTCCGAGGGCCAAGGTCCGAGGCGCCGCGCGGTGTCATTGGGCCAGCGCCAACGCCATCGCGACGTGGCCTTGCCATGATGAGACATCGCCGGCCACCGCGCACAGGAAGCAAGATTTGCCAACGCCCGCCCCTGCGCGTGGATGTCGGGCGGGGCTGGGGCAAGGAGAAATCCGTTCCGGAGCGTTTCGAAAGGCTCCCAGAGCGTCCCAGAGCGCTCTGACTGGGTTGCGGCACCCGAGCCGCTGGATCTCAGAGGTCCTTGATCGATCTTCATTCGAATATGTCCTTGTCCTGGCTGTGTCTTCAGGGGAGGAGGAGGAAGAGGAGGAGGGAGGAGGAGAAGGAGGAGGAGGAGGAGGAGAAATGGGAAGGAGGAGAGGAGGAGGACGAGGATGACGAGGAGTAGAGGGAGGGAGGGAGGGAGGGAGGAGGAGGAGGAGGCAGAGCCACTGCGCACAGCCATCAAGATCTGCCGGTGCCTGCCTCGACCCGCGCGTCAGTGACGCGGGTGTGTTGGCGCCCAGTGCCGAGGGCCTCGCGGGCGGGCGCGGAAGGGCCCCGGCAGAGAGCGGAGAGGCCGCTCGAGGGTCAGCCACACGCAGAGGGGGGCGGCGTTGAGTCGGGCGTGTTCCTCTACAGGAGGAATGTTCAAGAACAGTCGGAGGTTGATAGACCTCCCACCCTGACACGTCGATTGGTGAATTGGCCGTTTCCGTTTCGCCAGAGGGCGTCGCGGCCGTCATTTTTGCGGGTCCAGTCCAGGTCCGTCGGTTTCGGTCCCAGGCAGTTTTCACTAAAGGGTGGTTTACTAAACGGAGGTTTGTCCACCGCCGAAATAATCAAAAAACAGTCTGGTGACGACTTTTACTTTTTTGTTTTGATTATTCTGATGTTTCCCATTATGCTTTTCATTCTTCGTCCACCCAAACCCGCCTGTAGGAGAACACGTCCGACCTAAGGGTAAGGGGCGAGGGGAGGGCTTCGTGGAAGCACCCCTGCTTCTTAGCAGGCGCAAGCCTTCTGTATAGATGCAGGGCTGGCGCCCTCCAAGAAGCAGCTTCCTGCTAAGAAGCCACCCCCTCCTCCCTCCACCCCCGCTGCGCGCCGCCAAGAAGGGCCCCAGCAGAGAGCGGAGCGGTCGCTCGAGGGCACGAGCGGCCACGCAGGCGTCGCCGACGCATCGCCGACGTCGCCGATGTACTTGGCTCTTCTTAAATATGCCCAGGGTGTTTTTGTTATCAGATGTTTAACTCTGCGTGTTGAAAATCCTTTTCGGGGGTTTGAAACTCCCAACAACAAACGAAAAACGCGAAGAGCAATGGTTATGTAGCTTTGCGTGTTTAGCTACTTTTTGTTTAGCGTCTTCAGATCAGCTGGTTGTACTGTTTAGCATTGCCGTCTACGACATCATCAGTTCCTTCTCCTGGCGTGCAGTCTTCAGCCCTGCGGCTCTCTCAGTCCGACTGCTCGCCGTCCCTCTTGGGGCTATCGGGCTTCCAGGCTTGTTTCGGGTTGGTGCTAGACCGGTGTAAGAGCGTGTTTTACCGACGGGCGTAAACATGCAAGCAAAAACAGTTAGAAACGCTGTAAAAAAACCTTGCGTGTTGTTGTGAGTTTTTAGCTTGTCGAGAGCCCAGTGCAGAACGGCAAAAACAAAACAATAAAGGTTTACAACAAACGCCCAGGGCGCTTAAACAAAAGTCAAGAAGAACCAAGCCGATGCAGCGGCGATGCAGCGCGACACTCCGACCGCATCTACAGCCGGACTGAGGTAAAAGATCGAGGTCGGTTCGGAGAGGGCACCCCAGTTGTCTTCGTGTCTCTTGGATGTTCTTGTGCATCCTGGGGAGGAACCCTCGGATGTTCTGTTTGTTTTGGCCGGCACAGGGTCTCATGTTCTTGAGGGATGCTCTTCTGGCCTAGGTTCGACTAGACGTAAGAGTGGCCTTTCGCCGGAGTGACCTTTGGTGCGGGCACAGATGGGTCCCCATCCGGCTGAAAACGAAGCAGTAGCAGCTGCTTGCGCGCCCAGGTTTGGTCCCCCAGCGGCCCCCAAAAAGTCGCGCACCAAAGGTCACTCTTGCCCGGGGTCACTCTTGCGTACAGCCGATAGTTCCGACTGTACTCGGACCCCACCTGGGAGGCCTCCAAGAGGGCCGTGCTGGCACGACCGGGACTCCCCCCCCGGGCCGCTGCCCGCGGGGCTCTTCCCCGGCCGACGCCCGCCACAGGAGCGACACCTCGACGGGAGAGGAGAGCGGGAGCAGGTGTGTGGCGCGGGGGTCCCGACGTGGGAGGAGGGGGGCGGGAGCAGGTGCTTGGCGCGGGGGTCCCGACACGTGAGCGACGCCGAAGAACGAGCTCGACTGCGCCGACACTCGCGCGTGAGCTTCCCGTGGTGAGGTCGCGCGTCAGCGCCCTTGCCTCGGATGTGGCGTGCCGCGCTGGGGGCCCGCGTGAGCCACCACCGCGTGAGGTCGCCGCGTCGTCTCGCGTGAGACCCGTGGTTTCTCGTCGCTCGTGTGCACGTCGATTCCTGACGCTTCCCGGCAGGGGTTCGATCACACGTAAGGGTGACCCTTCGCCAGACTGGCCTGGGGTCCCCGGATCGCCGAATGCGATGCGACAGCAGCGGCTTGCGCGCCTGGGTTGGGCGCCCCCGCGCCCCCCCCGAAAGCCGCGCACCAAGGGTCGGTCACTCTTGCGCAGGGTCACTCTTGCGCGTAGCCGTCGGGTATCCAAGTGTGGGTGATTCTTACTTTGAGGGCAACTGAGCGAGAATAAGTCCAAGTGTGAGCGGTGTTTTCTGCTGCTCTCCGCC